CCTTAATAATAATATGCAACGGAGAATTTTACCTAGAGTTTTGACTTTGCCCTACTTCCTCCACCAAAGTCCTCAACTACCTGTTTTTAACTCCTTCTTCAATGTTTAGAGCTTGAGAGATGAAGGCTTATGGAATCTATTATTATTATTATTATTATTATTATTATTATTATTATTATTATTATTATTATTATTATTATTATTATTATTATATGGGGAGAGGTGGTGGGGATGTTCAGAGGAGAGGGAGGAGGTTTTGAAGAGATTTTTCTTCTTAAAATGGCAAAATCGGAGGTGGAGGGCACATATATATAAGCCCACGTGAAGAGAAATCTTCAATTTGGCCAAAGTTGAGGGTTTTTGTGCAAAATTTTACCTACTATCATGGCTGAACTATTTAAATAGCTATATTAATTAGAGGGTTTTAAATTAGTTATTTAATAATTAGGCTATCTCTAACTAAAGTTTAGAGCATAGTTGGTTTAGGTTGATATGCTATGTTTGTAGGCATGCTATAACTTCGTTAACTAAATCATAATACGAAAATTAGCTAAGTCAAAATTGTCATGCTAGAAGAGTATCTGGGACACAGTGAAGGAAAGAATTTACTAATTTATGGATCAGTATCGGTAATGGTATCCGATCAATGGAAGGAAAAAATAGAATGTTACAAGATGCCCCAAAATGAGCAATCTCCCCTCCTCTTATAGGCTGAGAGAGAGAGAGAAAGAGGGAGGGAGAGAGAGAGAGAGAGAGAGACCATTAAATATGGATTTAGTAACCATTAACTTAGGATATAATATGAGTGAACCATTTCCACAAATATAGATCTTGAAATGGTCATGTGTGAGGTTTGCCAATAATGGTCATGGGCGAAGTTCATTGTGCAGCAAGGGGTGAAGTTCTCTCTAGTAAAATTCATCAGAATGTGGATAGCCCACTTCTCTTGTGGTGTGAATGATGTAGCCTATGTGGGCTATTTGGTTGAAATTTATTTTGGGCAAACTTCGCTTGAAGCTTCTTTTTAACGAGCTTCGTTTTGGACTTGGGTGAGTCTCGCTACAACTTGGCCGAGCTTAGCCAAGACATATACTTAACATACATGAAGTGTTTAGCTTACGAGCATTTACTTCTTGAGCTTCAGTTGGACTAAGCATTGGTTTAGGGGAGAGTATATTTTAGCATCTATGGTTGAGAATGGCAGCATTCTTTAATTTTTTGGCTTGTTGATACTCGATAATCATGGATTATGCCCCTATGTGAAGACACTCACTAATTGGTGTATAAACAACGGCATGTGTGATTTATTGATATATCCCATGATTGGGAAAATTTAGAATCCTGAATATCACGGTTTGATTATTTGTTATTGAGATCTATTATTTCATTTTGATCGATGATCATATTATGAGCAATGATAGTTTATTGCTGATATCTATTCACTTCAATTTTAAATGTCTAGATAGAGTCCCTTTTCCCCCTTATTTTGTATCCAAGAGTTTTACGGTTGCCTATTTGGCCTTAGGCTTACCCCTATTGCTTCTGCATCTGCAGGTCGCAATCTAGCTAAGGGTAAGGGGATCACAAACCCTAATGAAGAGGACTAGCTCCTAACTCAGCCGGAGTAGAAGTAACTTTGTGCTTAACTTTTGTAGTACTTTTGACTAGTTTGGCATGTAATAATGTATATTGTAGGTTATGGTCTAATTATGTGTTGTAATATTATTCTCTTTAGCTTTTTTACAATTCTAATATTCTGTGTACTGCTATCAATCTGGTGATTCTAAGAGTTGTATATATTTCTGTTGTTAATTCAGCTCTTCAGTATTATTGTTTAGTATATGAATGTACATAAAAAGTTGTATATATTTCTGTTGTTAATTCAGCTCTTCAGTATTATTGTTTAGTATATGAATGTACATAAAATTTGAGCAGGTTTACCTCCCTATTACGGTCGATCATGCTCAGATTTTATATATTTTTTGAGCCCTGCCTCGATAAGTTTTGGAACAGCCGCTCAGGTTGACACCTTAAGAGTCTTACATAGAATACTAAGGGAACAATGTATTAGATAGTGTCAAACACTGGTTGTAGAGAGATACTACTTATGGAGAAGGAACTATCGTAGATACCTACAGTTAGAGATTACCGAGACGTATTTCTAGAAGACTTAGCAAGATTGTCACCAGATCGAGAATTAGAGTTTGTCATAGACTTCATCCTAAGGACCACCCCTATATCTAAGGCCTCCTATATAGATTGGTACCTGTTGAGATGTAGGAACAGCTTCAGGAATTGTTAAATAAATGATTTATTAGACACAACGTGTCTCCATGGGTAGCATCAGTCTTGTTTGTGAAGAAAAAAGATGGGAGTATGAGACATTGTACATATTATAGAGAGTTGAATAAGATGACAATTAAGAATAAGTATCACTTCCCAAGATTAGGGATGGCAAATGTGTGGTTTTGGTTGGGTTTTGATTGGGTCATAAATGGGTGGGCACATTTATGACCACTTAACCATTTATGACCCATTTAGCACAAGCTAAATGGGTTGGTTCTCATCCACCCATTTACTAAATGGGTGGTTCATGGGTAACCCAATAACCCATTTAGTTATGATTATGATGCTTCTATATATATGTAAGTTTCAGGGATCTACTTGTAAACTTTCATGGGTTTTTGGCAAACTTTTAGGGGGATTTTCTGCAAACTTTTAGGGAGTTTTCTGTAAACTTTCAGGGGGTTTTCTGCAAACTTTCAGGGGGTTTTCTATAAACTTTCAGGGGGTTTTCTGCAAACTTTTAGGGTATTTTCTGCAAACTTTTAGGGGTTTTTTTACAAACTTTCAGGGGGTTTTTTGTAAACTTTCAGAGGGTTTTCTGCAAACTTTTAGGGCGTTTTCTGCAAACTTTCTGGGGGTTTTCTGCAAACTTTCAGGGGGTTTTCTGCAAACTTTCAGGGGGGTTTCTGTAAACTTTCAGGGGATTTTCTGTAAACTTTTAGGGGGTTTTCTACAAACTTTCAGGGGTTTTATGTAAACTTTCAGGGGGTTTTTTGTAAACTTTTAGGGGGTTTTCTGTAAACTTTCAGGAGTTTTTTTGCAAACTTTTAGGAGGTTTTCTACAAACTTTCAGGGAGTTTTCTATAAACATTTCTTTCTCAATTGAATCGACTACTTGAGAAAATTAGGACAGAATTGTGAGCAAAAGAAGCAAATGATGACGGGGCTGAGCAAAAGAAGAGATGGACTCGTAACAAGTCTAGTTTACTACCTGCTCGGTTATTTAAAAAAAGCCCTTACTTTGGTCATGTGACAAATTACACTTGGCCGCACACACATATATCTCCTGCCGACGAAGAATTATGAGCGCCTACTTTTTATATTTATATATCATTGAGGGTGTTTTTTGTAATTTTTAAAAGTTTGAGGGTGTTACTTGCAAATTTGATATTTATAGGGGACTACCGAAATTTTTTAGATTTCATGTGTCATTTGCAAGTTTAGAAAATTCTAAGATTGTTTTGTAGTTTTGAACTCTAGAGGGTGCTTTTTGTAATTTTTAAACTTTGAGGGTGCTTTTTGTAAATTATAAATTTACAGGGGGCTGCTAGTAATTTTTTGATTTCATGTGTCATTTGTAGGTTTTGAAATTTCAGGATGGTTTTGTAATTCTAAACTATGGAGGGTGTTTTTCTAAAAATTTAAAACTTTGAGGGTGTTAATTATAAATTTTAAATTTATAGGGGACTATTGAAATTTTTTAGATTTCATATGTCATTTGCAAGTTTAGAAAACTCTAAAATTGTTTGGTAATTTTGAAGTCTTGAGGGTGTTTTTCTTATTTTCTACAACTTTTAAGGGTGTTTTTGCAAATTATAAAATTTCAGGGGGCTGTTGGTAATTTTTGAATTTCATGCGTCATCTGTGAGGTTAGAAAATTTTGATAGTTTTTTTATAATTTTTAACTCTTGATGGCGTTTTTATAATATTTTAAACTTTGAGGGTGTTTTTTGCAAATCTTAAAATTTTAAGGGGTTGTTAGTTATTTTAAGTGTTTTCTATAATTTTTAACTTTTAAAAATAAGTTTTGTAATTGTTTAAGCGTTGAGGGTGTTTTTAAAACAATATTCATCTAAACGGGTAAATGGGTGGGTAATAACCCACCCATTAATGACTTATTTATCTTTAATAAAACCTATACCCACCCATTTATGGCCCATTTAACTAAATGGGTGGGTTTGGATGGTTCATTTGGCGGGTGGGTATGGGTGGGCAATTGGTTTTAGGTCCATTTTGCCATCCCTACCCAAGATAGATGATCTATTTTATCAGCTCCAAGATGTTTAATATTTTTCTAAGATTGATTTGAGGTTGGGATACCATCAGTTGAAGATTAAACCCAAGGACATGCCAAAGACTACATTTAGGAAGTAGACTGAATTTCCTAATGTAATTAGGGATTTACATCTAAGATTTTAGAACTTTATCCATTTCATGATCATACATGTAAGGCATCATGTTTGGATGCAAGGATAGACATAGATTTCATGCACTACACCACCTGAAATCATCTATAGCGGCTGAAAAACGCTATGATATTATTTGATAGTGTTTTAATCAGCGTTGTGTCAGAACCCGCTATAGTAGGTCTGTGGCTTTACATAGCGCTTCCCCAAACGCTATCAAAAAAGTTCCAACCATAACGTTTTTATGTAGCTATAAAAGGGTATTCAATAGCGTTTCTGTATTGCTATGACGAATATCTTTCATAGCGGTTAAAAATTGTTATTAGTTAGTTTTCATTCATAGCATTTCAACACTGCTATTGTCTTACATTTGATAGCGTTTGAGTTACTACAATGGCGTTTCAGCGAATGCTGTCTTTCTTCTTTTAATAGCATTTCAGCAATTGTTTCCACTTCTTATAGCATTTTAGTTATGCCTATAAACCTTTGAGGTTGAACTAAAAATAGCTTCCAATTATGACAACCATAAAAGCAAATATTTTATTTAAAGGTTCAAACTAATACATAACCAAGTTGTAGCATACAAGAAGAGTTAACACAAATGTGCCAAAAAACAAATACTAGTATTTGAATAATCCAACATGGAGTACACGAAATTAATCATAGTACACAGAACAACAAAAACTAACTTTGCTGCATTACATATGACTTGGGAGACTCATCATCTTCAGCAATTGAGTACTAGTACTGCTACAAAAACAGAAATTAACAACACCAATAATGAGATCCTAGAGCCATGAATATATGGACACAAAACAGAAAACAACAGCACCAATAATTAGAAATCCAGTGCTCACATTCCCTATTCTCTCTGTCAATGCAAGTAGCTCCTGTGAAAAGTTAATTAATATCAGTGTTAAAAGTAGCTTACAAATATGAAGAAATTGATCGGCGAGCAACATAACTTTCCCTTATGACTTACCTCATAAGACATATTATCAACATCAAGCCTCATATCTCTATGCCTGTCATATAATAACACTCTTTGTACAGCCTGTTTGAAAATTTTATGTAAACACTAAACATTTAAGTAAACATTCTTCTGCGAAGCTAACTTCTTCTGGATTCCTATCCCTTCCAGAACTAACTAAATCAGATAAATCCGTTGAATTCTGCAAGTAGCAGACTTAAACATTCAACTTAATCACTAAAACTACAAGATGAAAATATATGAAAAATATTAGATAATACTGTATATCAAATAAAACATGAGATGGTATATTACTGGTGATTAATAGAATACCTGTATAAGGAGATCATATAAACGAACAAGTTCTTCAGGCTTCATGATCTTCTCACCCTTATCATCCCGCTGCTTTGAGAACTTACTTTTAGCAACTATCACACGCAATTGATCACGCTCTATTGTTCGCTGTCCCAATACAGCACTGACTGCCTTATCGAGGCCATTCAATTCATCTTTCACATTCTCGTCATTGCTTGCAGCAGCCTAAATTAAATAATGTTATTAGCAAATAGCAATGCACATTCATCTAAACCAACACACAGTCTACGATACACGTGTAAACAGAAACTGAAAAGAAACGACCCATTGGACAAAGAACACACATGTTGACAGGTGTCTTTATGAAAATATCAATGCATCTATTATTTAATATGTGGTTGCACAGTGGTTTACCAAATCATTGCGAATCAACTTCTTGCATCCTGATATGCGATGAACCATATACATCTTTCTCTAGCTCCTGAGCTGAAAAGATAATAGTAAAATAAAACCAACCAAATCAATATACAATGGAAGTAAAAATAGATGCCCTATAATTAGCCATTCACGAAAAAAACATAAAAATGAAATCATAAATTGCAGTGAGAGCGAGATAGAGCAAATAAAAAAAATAACCAAACCTTTCAAAATGGAAACTCGTGTCTTAGCATTGCTGATGGGAAATCTATGGCCAAGCCAGTAGAACTCTGTTATAGACTCTGCTTGTTGAGATCTTGCCTCGGCCATAACAACCTGGATATGAAATCAAATGAAGAATATTCAGGAGTTCTCTGGGTAACATTTCTCATTGGAACAAAACCCACAAAGAGCAATATGATTTTTAGGCCTTCCACTAATGAGAAGTTAAGAATGAAGCACATTGACCGTATAAAATGCACGACAGTTTGATGATGTATTAGAAGAAAGAACATACATATTTAATACTATGCACAAAAACAGTTTATAAACTTTCACTAAACTATAATTGGTGGGATAAATAAACCAAAAGAAATATCATAAAATTGAAGAGATGAATTAAGTTGTCGAAGGTAATTTGAAATTGTTTGCTGGGTAAGCAGGAAAGACTAGAATATCATGACCAGCGGAAACATCAAATTTAAGTTGAGCATCCATACTTGTGAAACTCAATGTAGCGTGTGTGTCTTGTCTGATTGGTAGTAGAGAAGCGGAAATCAGCTGGTGCAGTTCTTAATTCAATCTAACAAAAACAATACATAATTAATTAATATGTTTGGCATGCTATAAGTCACCCAAAGACCAAAGCCATCTTAAATTACAGTAGAAAAATTAACTTAAAGTGCACAAGATGGTTTGAGAATGGTCTAACCAAAACTGGATATCTACAAGTGGAAAGTAAAAGATATTGACAAGGTTCATGAATAAAATAAACATCAAGAGACAACCCAAACATTTAAGCAATACATAATGCTAGTGAAGTAAGTTAATCTAACCTCTGGCATAAACATAACCATCTTACATAGATAACAAATAGAAAATCTGCAGATGATTAAATTTAATGCAATCTTCTTAATGATCTTTGGCTGCGTATGTGTACCCAGAGTTATTTGAGTTTAATGAATAGCTCAAAACTTTGACAGACACATATTAGACAAGCTTTAATATATACCATCTTCAGTAATAGGTGTATGGCAGAAGATGCATTGACATAGTACTTAAAGAACAAAACATCTTTATTAAAAATTGATGTGTTTGTGTTAAAAAAATTTACTTTTTCCACATTTGTTGGAGCTGAAATTTGCTGCAAAGTGTTGAAATGGAAGATGAAATGAGTTTATTTAGTGAACTACATGACATGAACTTGTGTTTTCAATTTTTTAGCAATTATGCGCTTCAACCAAAAAGATGCTGTTTCATATAAAACATCAGTGTAAGACTGTCATTTTAACAGCCTGATGTTATATAAAACCTAGCAAAAAAATCCCATATCTGGATTGTGGAGTAAGTAAATGACATTGTAGGTTCAAAGTTTCCTGTAATCATTAGCAAAATAAATCCACAGCATTGCACCATCAAGCATCATCAATGTCAAATAACAATAGCAAAAAAGAAAAAGAAAAAGAAAAAGAAAAGCCACCACATCAGACATAAGAGGTGATAATATTGGCATACTGCTAAAGCACTTCGTGAATAACTTGTGTATATTTGAACTCCTATGACTACCCAAGATTTTCCCAAGCTAATAGGTCATAGTTAACAGCAAGGAAATGCCTAATAATAGGTTAACAATAGCCCTATGTTGTACACGTACACACTGAATCAAACACAACAGCAATTGAAGTTTGAGCTATATCTGACAATTGGTTAAGGGACAAATAAGGGGATTCAATCATGCATACCAAAGTGTTCAAGTCAGTTAACTGCTTTAAATGGCAGGCCCACCTCTCCAGTTGGACTATAAATGAGTAGATCATATCAACTTCAAAGAGAATGGGGGGTAAAACTACTTATACCATACTTTTACAATTTGTAGTTGGTTTTCATAGGGTCATGGTTCTGATGCCCACGTAACATATCATTTTTTTCATGAAAGAGGATGGTGATTCACAATAGAAAAGAACTATTTCTGACATATACCATACTTTTTGCAATTTATAGCTGGTTTTGATATGGGACATGGTTCTGATGCGTATGTAACATAACATTTTATACATGAAAGAGGCTGGTAATTCACAATAGAAAACAACTATCTCTGACACATGCCATATTTTTTGTAAATTTTAGCTGTTTTTCATACGGGACATGGTTCTGATGCATATGTAACATAGCATTTTACACATAAAAGAGGCAGGTAATTCGCAATAGAGATAAAATCCCAAAAATATCACTCAATAAATGCATTTTTTACCACAATTGTCAACTCACAAAAAATGTGTACTGTGTTGAGAATATTAATTAGCTGGTCTATCTCCAATATTTAATGCCAAAGACTTGAGTATTTACATTTTGTATCATAATACAAGGCATATAATACCCCTTTAATTAAAAGAACATGAGAACCATCAATCCAATGCATATGTAACATAGCTTCTGAAAGGCTCCAGTTTCGCGTTTTGGCAAAGATTTCTCCTGTGCCAAATTATTACAGGACAAACATTTAGTCTCCTTAGAGATGTGTGTCCAATATCTTTTTTCGCGTCCCTTTCTAGCATAATAAAGTAGCTATGATCCAAAGAAAGATGCAAACATCTTGTATTTCCTACACTTCAGTCTCATGCCTAATGAGGGAACAACTAAAACTCAAGACATACTAACAGAATCAGAGAGCCAAAAAAAAGAGAACGAAGAAGAATAATCAGTCGAAATGGAAAGCTAGGTCTCAACAAAAAGTGACCAGCACTCAACACAAAATGAAGAAATGTTGTTAACTCATCATACAGCTTAGCGAGAATGGAAAGAACGCAATATAAACACAACAAATTCACAACCACATATAATCGAGCGCATGATACTCAAACATCCATAACATCATATTTTATAAAATAAAAATAAAAACCACATACCCCGGTGCTAGCATGATGCTTATCACTGCGAGTTTCAGCGGAGACTGACATCGATGCTCGAGAAGAACAGCGCCGCGCCCGCATCACTGAAATGGAAACTACATCATAAAGTATCATTAAAGGGGGATTAGGGTTAGGGTTTTCACCGAAGAGAAGGAGCGAGCGACAGAGCTTTGAGCGGCATCCACAACAATGTCCAATCGATTGGTCGGTCTACTACTGAAGGAGGAGGAGGAGCTCGAATCAGAGGAGCTCGAATCAGGGTTTTTAGGGGAGAGGAGGAGGTGGCGAGAGAGCTCCGATGACGACGCGAGGAGGAGGGCAACGATGGTTTTGGCGACGAGAGAGGGAGTGAGGGCGGCCCTGGTTTTGGCGACGAGACAGGGAGGGAGGCGGCGAGAGAGCTTGAATGAGGATGAGAGGAGGAGGAGGACGGCGCCGCTGGCCTGTTTTGGCGAGAGAGAGGGAGGGAGGGAGCGAATTGCAGAGAGGGATCGAAATAATTTGGGGGTGGGGGGATAAAATTTAGGGCTAGCTGTAGGGGGGTGTTTGTTTTAATTTTCAGTCTCCTGCTTAACTTTTCAATGCGCCACAACAAAAAAAAAATAGTGATCAAGTATTTATAGCGTTTAAAATTTTTTAAACGCTATCAAAAAATAAGGCACATACAAACTATAGCACTTACAACATAAACGCTATCATTCAACGCTATAAAAAAATAGATTTTTTATACTGATGTTATCATCCATATATGTCACGTCTTTAAGCAACCGAGAACTGAATAGGGCTATTTTATCAAGTAAAATATGACCTTTCATAGTTTCATGCCCTCTCTAATGCTGAATTCATTAATCATAGCTCTAGTTGATGGCTTGAATAGAATTCACGTTTGAATGTAAGCTAGCATGTCGATTTTTGAAACTGAATTTGTTGTAGAAAATTTCCAACAAAACACCATGTTAGTGTTTTGGACATAACTCTCTCTAGTAACATTTTCTATTTTAGAAACTAGACTCATGTATCTTTCAAATTAATCTAGTTTAGCCTAATGCAGATATTAATGGCTAGTTTGAATTTGTAGTTAAACTTTATGCATGGCTCTTGGATAGACAGTTAGACCCCTCCTGATTGAATTTCCTATATCTCAGCCTATGTTTGAGATATGATAGTAAGGACCTTTGAATTAGAAAATAGACAATCCTTTCAGTTAGAAATTTATTAAATTTGAATATGTTTTGGCTCAAAATTAGTAAGAAACTAAGGGCTTGTAATCTAGAAACTATACACTGTTACCTGTAGATAACTATATACCTCTGATATCATATCCCTATACACTTATACACTTCCTCATTTGAATTGATGATCTGAAAAGTATATTCATATATGAATATTTTGACTCTAGTGTTATTAAATTTGGTTATCATATTAGACTATTAAATAATCACGTGTATCTTCCAAAGCAAGTTACACTCCAGTTTGTACATGTCACATATTTGTGTATATAACTTTGCCTCTCGTCAACTAATTTATGCCAAACCTAATGTTTTAGGAAGTGGACTCATATACGAGTAAAATGACTATATGTTTACACAATTTGGATCCTATTTAACTAATTGTTTTACCATCACAAATCATGACACAAACTGCTGACTTTTTGTTCATTCATGATCATTATTGCATATAGCGCCATTTGCATCTTTGTCAAGTGATGTGGCATAATTATGTACCAAAAATGTTGCAAGTGCACAACCGTGTCAAGTTATAGTATAAAGATATCGATCCACGAGGAAGGTGTTTTGTAGGAGAAAATATAAAATTGGTTTTTATGTTGTGTGCGTGACAAATAGGAGTGATGAGTGAATGTGATTGTGGAGAGATAATGAGAGTGAACATGATAGTGTGTAAATCAATCTTTTTGAGAGTGGA